AGTTTCTGAATGCGAGAACGGATATTAACAAGTAAGTAGATTGCAGCAGGAGGAAAACGAAACCACCACAGCATCTCGATGAAGCAATCTATCTAGGTATTTGGAAGAAAATTCATAATCTTGATAATCTGTTTCTGATTTAAGAGCTGCATGTCGTGTTTAGAAGTATGATCTGTAATGCAAAACAAAAGATCATGCGTAAGATACTTTTCAAGGTGAGTTTGTAGAATTATTGTCTACTATGATATTAGTACTGCTCTAACAATAGACCTAATCCTAAAATTGTAGATTTGTCATGATATAACTGCCTAATCTATAAGATCTTACGTGGAAGTCACACCATCGACTACACCAACTCACTGTATCGTATCAATTACCAATACATGATGAAGAACAAGCTTAGGCTAGAGAAAGAACAATATATTTAATATGAATAAAAGATATAAGGTAATATTCAACAGAGACCAGGCCTGCATGGCCGAGCCATGCCACTCGATCAACTCTAATTCATTCCATTCATTCTTCGCGCCTTCTCCATTCTTAGGTATTTCTCCGTGTTGAATATTGAATATCTATTTCTGAGTAGTCTTGTGTTCAGCTTTGAAGATTGTGTGGTTATGGTCTAATGCCACTAAAAGTTCTCAAAAAGCATACATCTGTATATCAGGGGACTTCTACAGTGAACCATTCGCGGAGATGTGTGAGTTAACTGTTTATCAGATACGAGTTATAGAACTAAGTAATAAGTCTATAGCTGTCATGAAGTAATGAGGATATAAAATAAAACTTGGCAGTAGAATAACGGACCAGCTAGAAACCGTTAAACGGATTATCTATATGCTCGATAAACTAGCGAAATCGAAGGTGTTTTTATTAAGGTTTAGGAAATTCAGTACCGTCCAAAGATCTATTCCTATCGGTACCTAACTCGCCAATCTTTTACAAACTCAAAGAAACCGGAAAAGCTAAGTGTGGTTTCTTGACTGTTCAGATAAATGTCCTGGAGCTTACGTAATCAGTTGATTTGCGTGGAGCCAGGCAGCACAGCTTATCTGCTGAGTATGTTTTTACATCTTCATGAAGAGCTTGTATCGATTTCTGATGACTCGAAAGAAATATTCAGGAAAGTGAGGGGGCCTGAGCCTAATCGAGGGAACTTGAAATGCCCATAGTAGTTGATCAGTGTTTAACTAGGAGAGTGTGTTGAATTCCAGATGAGATTTCATTTATTTAGTGTCTTATTATCTTGACGTTGTGCAAATTTCGTTATGAGTAAGGAGAATCGATAGTTTTCTGGTTCCTTAGACAGTCTCGCTATAGAAGTTATTGGGAGTAATACACATATCAATAGGTTTTTAATCACGTTTTCTGACATTGAACAGGTGAGTAAATTAGTTGTTCAGATAAGTGGATCATCAAACAAATATTTTTCATTGAAGAGACAGACAAGTAATTTAAAGATGTCAAGATTACATTCCCCGACGTGCTAAGGGGATTGCCTAGGCCTGAAATGCCGGTGACCCGTAGCACCGCTCAACGGGCATTTGACTTATAATGAGGTGACTTTAGGTTTCTCTCAAACTCACTGGATAAGCCGTTAACTTCTTTGTTGTTTCATCGTTGTCCAACTCAGTGTATCTTACAGCTTAAGCGTGCTCTTAAGCTGCACTCCTCCTACAAAACTTTGCAAGGGTCAGTTAGGTTGGGGTTCATTGTTCAACAGGCAAGATCTATCTACACGACTGTGAGTGGTCGAATGTGTGCATCTGCCACCGTGTTTCGCTCTCTTCATTAGAGTTAAGAGCAAGAGTGACAACCACGACTCAGAGTTAAGACAACATCAATTCAGTGATGCAATGGAGATGGGTTACCGCCTACGCCCATAATAAGCACTAGAGTACACACATAAGTGCGTCTCATGTAGTAGCCATGGCCTGCAAAAAATATTCGCCTTAAAAAGAACCAGTACAATTAAAGCAGCGATGGGAATACGTGTTACTTGTGGGTAGACTACGACGAAGTTAGGATAATAACTAATTCACAACTTCCCTTCTGCAGAGTTCATCAGAACCATTATAATTCCTCAGCTTTGGTAACAGACTATACTGGATTCTTTATAGCTTACCAGAGATCATTGAAAAAGGGATAAAGCTGAGTCCACATGCTCGTAAACCTAGGCCTTAAACATTAAAATGGCCCATCATCATTCCACGAATTCGTCCACAATTCAAGTACCCTATGTGTGTTTTCAAAAGATGCCTGTGGGAATGTGGACCATACCCACAGTTCCGTCAGCAGTAGTTGATGAAGAGGTGTAACATCTAGGAAAGGCTGTTCTCAACCAATTTTCATTTGACTTTATATGACTACTTTCACTTTTTATGACAGCATCCAATTTTTGCGACATATACAACGAGGTCTGGCTTGTCGAAATATTCTGTCCTCTGAATCACCTATTGCGACAAAATGAATCGTAATAAATAAACCCATCGTTGTCATTATTAGATAGAATATTGAGACATTCGTCAGGGCCAAAATTCAAATACTCCATTTTAATTCAGGAAACCCCTCAGTAGCATCAATATCTGTCTTGATAAGTCAGACACTTATGTTCTTCCGTATAGAGTACGAAGCTTTCCTACGTCGCTCACATCTAACGATTGTATCAAGACGCACACAAACATTTGCAGTACAGTACAGCTAAAGCTGGCTGCTTAGTAAAAATTTGAAGTACCTGAGAATGAACACGCGTATCCCCAACAAAATTGGATGAAACTTTTAGAAGGTGTTGCTGGTAAAAGCGTTGTCAAACACTGAATGCCTGTGCCATCTTCAAACGGTAAGCATGAATTTATAGTTATTTTACTGGTTTAGTTTCAGTTTCAGTTTGGGAAGGACAGGAGGCTTAATGACCTGTGTTAGTCCTGGCAATGGTGGTCTCTCAGTTGATCCAGCTTTCTTTTGAAACAGTCGACGGATGGAGCCTCAGCCACGTGCTGAAGTGATGATTCGATGGGAAAGTCGATAGTCAGCTGACAAGTAATTTGTTCTTGGCTTGTGAACCTTTTTGGAGTGTCCTCGTAAATTCTCCGTTTTGGAAGACAAGAAAAATGAGGGCATATCAGGTACAAATTTGGCACTAAGCAATTTGAAAACTGTAATCAAGTCGCCTCTAGTTCTGCGATATGACAACGGGAAAAGGTTCAGCTTGGCTAGTCGAGCTTCATACGGAAGCACTGTGAAGTGTTTTTAAAGAATGTTTGCCTATTCAAAAACAGATGGCAAGTAGACAATTCAAGAAAAAGTGAAAGTTTTTGAAATCCACTTGCGTGATTTTCTTGTTTTAATGCATGAATGTGTTAATCAAGTCGGTTATTTGACCCGGGTTTTTCCTTAACCGGTCATGAACTGAAATTTGGTTTTTTGTGTAAGTCTAACTGTTTAATTAATTTGTAAGGATTCATGATGCCTCAGAACTTAGGTTCCATGGTTTTGGGACGCATCTCCAGATCTGTCATTTCTTCATTCCACGGTGCCCACGAGACTCGTCTTACTTCTTTAATACAAATAATATGAATAAATATAAACGTTCCTCCAGTTGTCCAACCTTGACTTCACAAACCAACAGGACGCTTAGACGGGAAGTTTCAAATAATAGACGTCTGCTTAAGCGAATCCAAAGGTAATTCCTTTTACCATAGTTTTATTGCTAGGCAATACCATCGTCGGTTACCAAGACTTTTAGGAAAGCCAATCAAGCTCAGTGATTTGTTTGTGGCTGTAGTATCTCGCGGGGGTTATAAGAGAGTGTGCGATCATAGATGTTGGTTAGAAGTAGCTCGGGAAATAAAGCTACCTAGTGAATGTGCCAATGCAAGTGTTGGACTGAGAAGAATCTATTACCAATTCTTAAGTCATTTTGAATTCAAAGAATACCCTTCTCTCTCTGAACAGTTTTTGGTTCAAACACTTGTCGAACCAGATGTCACTCCTGAAGACGTCACTTTACCACTTTCTTCCGTAGAGCGGAATCTCGGGATTGGGACATCGTGTAATCATGCTCATATGACTTCCGTCCAGTCAGCGGTCGATCTGTTTGATCAGTCCCACCGGTCTCGTTTGTTTCCCTTGTTTCAGGCAAGTTCGTTTTGTTTAATATGTCAGTTTTCAACATTTGGTTTTATCTGTTAATCTCTTAGTTACTGGAGACTTTATGATCCAATTTGAACGATTATCATGGTTTGCTTAGCCTTAGCCTGACCGGGCAAAAAAAGTGCAGTTCGGCAGCTTCTGATTGGCTCGTCCATAAATTAGAGTCCTACCTTAATCTCTTACATCTTACCTGCTTCGGTTTGGGCACCAGGGCAGCGTCACAGCCCTCACACAAATCAGTGTTGACTGCTACTGACCTCATTGTTGTTGTGTGACGCATATGTATTCGGTGCCCCCTTTTATCAGTGTTTTTGTTCAGATAAATAAAATTATACCTTAAGACTTTTATATACATTTAGAATGATGACATTGGCTTTATTCCATCACCCTTACGTAATAAGTGTGTAACATCCTACAACCGTTGGTAGTAGCAACCAGACTACGTCTGAGTTTTAAAAGTAAACTAATAAGTGCTTCTAGTTTATCACTTAGTAAGTTACATGCGGTTAGCTACTAAGATCTCACCACCTAAGTGCATTCACTGGAGTTTTATTTGATTTAGCAAACGATTTGTAACAAAAATAACCAATAGCAACTTGCTATATGTATGTTTACCAGAATGTATATTTCAGGGATAATATTTGTATTGTACGACTTCCTTGAAATGGTCTTGAATCTATTATATTGGTTATTACTAAATAGTTCGGACCAGTAGTGTTTCTATATCAAGGGAAGTATCTTGACAACAGAAACATTGACAACTTTGCTGGCAGTTGGATATTTTAAAAATACTTGCTAGTTGATTTATGTAATGATTCCTGATGTGATTCCAAGAATGACTTGAAATGCTGAGTTGTCTGGTCATTTATACCCCTTGGTCACCCTATAAACGATTCTGAACCAAGTTCCCCAGCCGCTAATCGCGATTTCCTCGTGGACCCCGACCGATCATCATTAGTCAGACCACTAGTCAGTGACTTTATGGACGGACACCATGTTGGTCTCGTCGCTTCTAGCTTTCAGCCTGCTTTTACGCCAGAAGACATTCGTCCTAACCACCTCAATTCAGAAGCTCATCAACCGACTCTCCACCTTTGTCGATCACTCTATCCTTAATCACTCAGTCGTTCCACAAAACACGAGCGGCGTTTTACATGTACCTAGGGTCAACAACGTGTAACCCTAACGTCTTTTCTATTTCCGTAGACCGTTTTTCACAACCATAAAATAATACAGAGCGGACTATTGCTCAGTAAGCAGACCCTTATTGCTCTGAGAAAGCGTAAATCTAAAGTTAGACAGTTACATAGTTCTACATGGGCTTAACTATCTCCAAATGTGTGGTAACAACAGGCTGATTTATATGATTTCCTCCTATGTCAGTAAAAATAGATCCGCAAAGTACTTTCCTTAACCTTCGCTACATGCATTTACTGTCTGTTGTCGTAAACATATTTTAAAGCAATTGCTAACTGGTTTAACTGAGTGGAATTTCCGTCTGTTCCTAAACAGATAGCCTGTTTTCGCTTCAAATTGATAAGTGACTTTTTCATTTGTTTACAGGATTATAATTATAGTAATAAAGAGATTCTGAGAACCGGTCAAGATAATGATATATTTGACGCCAGTCCTAATGCAGATGAATTTCCTGATGTATTTGAACCCTCACAACTGCGTTTAGTGGAATCAGCATTGTGTTCAGGTCTACCGAATGAAATAGAAGTTGCTTTAAACTCCCTTCTTGTTTTATCTATAACTCCATCATCTGGTTCATCAACTAGTGTTAGGCTTGCTCATTGCACAAACTTACTTTCTCTTCTCGTAGCGTCTGTTGGAATATATGGAGAAGGTAAGCGAAAATCATTCATTGTTATTTACATTTATAGGGAAGTTCCATTTTCTCTGTAGTGTAAGCAAATAGTGCATCAACAGTCTCAAAGAAATTATGTGTAACCTTAGGTATAACTAATAATATTTTGTCGGTTGTCATCTCAGTGAAATATGAACTTTAACTGAGTTGCATGTAATCATATTTTTTCAAACTTGCCTGCAAATACATGTATGCATATGACTACACCCTTACAGTTAATCTCAGAAGGAAATATTAAGGGTATGTTTTAAGAACAACCAAAGGAATAGATCATAAAATTTGTGCTCACGATGATATGACTTAACATGATATCAAACTTGCTGAAAAACAGAGGTTGAGAAAGCCAGTGAGTCTGTAACTTCTACTGAATTTGCAGTTGCAAAAAACGTCTCATCTCATCTGACTGCTCTTGGTCACTGATCTTCCCACTATATAAGAAGGAACGAAAATCCTGTTTTCATTGCCACAAAGGTATATTTTCTAATATAGGATCTAAAATATTAGCTTCAGTAATCATCTATGGTCTATCTGGAGTTTGTCTACAGCAGACTGAACGTCTATTTTCAGACTTAGGTGCTTCGTCTAACTTCTCAGGGATTGATCTACAAACAGATCCATTTTTCGACCTTAAGTGCTCATATGTAATCATTCTGTCTGTTGAAGACTGAGAAAATACAGTCTTTTGATTGCCTTCAGGAATAATCCAATCATTTTTTGGATGCACCTCTCTCCCTCTTAATACAAAATGTTGAGTGCATCGATCACTGCATTTGGATATGAGGTCTCACTAGCCGTGGTTGATTAGTGTCTCACGAAACCTCTTCATTTGTTCAAAAGTGTTTATCAAACCTAGTCACCTTTGATTTAGGTAAGATATCCGTCCACCACCAAACAGATGATATTGTGCAGCAGTTCGCTCTCTTTTACCTCATGTCTGAGACCTGACTGTCTTAAGAGTATGTATGAAATCTAGGAGTGGCCCACCAAAGATATGGAATTAGTCCATGAGATAGTCGAGTGTCGATTTTAACTATGTCGGTTGGTACAGACTGACCGGTTCAAGTTCGCGTGATTATCTTCAGTCGTTAGAGACTTCGACTGAAATGTTAAAATCGTTGAAAGCTGCGCCCATCCATTCAATCATTCCTTTCTCTTAGATCCTTAATTTTAAAATCATTCTATGCTCTACATTCCATCAGTTCGTTCTTTCCTATTGAGTCATATTTTCTTTGCCCAATATTTTTTATTACTGGTACTTCTGCTACTATCATAGTATTCATCTTCGTGATTTCATCTCACCTTGCTGACATGATGTAGTCACTCAAGCCGATTCCCATTTGTGTCAGGTTCTTCGTCGCTTTTGACTACTGACTCACTGAGATTCTCAGGAAACCTCTAGTTAATTTTCATTTTTGTTATAGCATGTATATTTTTATTGTCAAGTCTTATTTAGTTTGGATATTATTAATTTAATGCTATACTAAATGCATTAACAAATTCCATTCTAGATTTTGGGTCCTACATCTCCTGTGATGAAACTTGGGGACGTCAGAATCAACTCAACTTTCTCAAAGTATGTTTCATTGATTCTCGCTAGAAAAATTTAGCGACTATTTGTCTGTACTGTGTTTTCTTTAACGTGTAATACATTTTCTTATCAAATAACCAGTTACGGAACTATGTATTTGATTTCACGTTACACATTAGTTATAAAGGTTAATGATGCTACTTTGTTGCTCAAACCGAAGTGCGTGGGGTAGGGTTAAAACCCGTCACTTATTAGTTGGAAGTTTAGAGGTCGATAGTGACAAGTGATTATTTACATTCGTATCTATTGTATAATATAAACTAACGGTAAAAATCTAGGTGGATGTTCCTGAGACGACTTAAATAATATTCATTTAACGATCAGTTTTTCAAATAATGGTTTCATTTGAAACGGGCATATGAAAAAAATTCATTATACCATTGCTTATTACATTGGAAATGTTGAAAGCGTGATATACCTCGTACATGTTAAAATGTCCTGGATTAAAATAAGAAAAAATATCGCCATCCTCTCGTAATTAAACCGTTATACAAATACTGTGAGAATTATTGACAGTAATCATTTTCCGTACCAAGATGCAATCGTTATTGCTCTCGTGATAGTCATGACCCATAGGATTGTGTCTACATCTGGTTGTGATCACGCAGTTCTGTTTGTATAGTTTGTTTAAAGTTTTAAATTTCTGCGTTTGGGCTAGAACCATATCTCCTTTTTATTATAAACCTCCTTTGTTCAGTGCTTATAATATCAAGGATATTAAACTCATCTTGACTGCTTTATAAAGCATATAGTTGATTCGTTAACTTAATACTAGTAATATTATCCAAAAACCGGTTATAAAACAATGTACTATACGCGGGACGGCTATTAGTTAAGCTTAATTCTCCAACCACTCAAAGGAAAGTATCAATCAACTCTACGTTTTTCATGGGTAGTTGATCTAATCTATACTCAAATATTTTGTTTCATATTCGCATTAGATTACTGGGTGATGTTAATTCGTCGTAAACTATAACAGAATAAAGTCCCAAAACTAACACAGCTAATATGAAAAGTGTTGAGTATTTTAGAACATTTTGTATGTGATCATTCTTCCGCAAGACCTTATCTGCTATCTTCGTAAAAGTGAAATTCCTTCGATAGGGCAATTATTTTCCTGTACTAGGGTCAGTCAGTCAGTAACAACGTACTAGGGTATTTAAACTAAATGTAAGATTTATGTTGTATTGATATTGTTTGACAAATGATGTTAAACAGACATCAACATAGAGCCTGGGATAAATGTGTGTTATCCCAAGTTACTATAACATGCGCTGGAAATAATAAGGTGAATAATGATAAACTTAAATAACATAGTAGCACTGATGAAAAGAACATCTGAACCTTGGTTATATTTAAAAAGATGGATTGAAAATTCATGTATTAAAGGATACTAAGACTCAAGATCAAGAAGGAAGATAAAAGTGAATGCATCCGTGGAGTATTATGTATGACATTGTTTGTACATAATTTCAAAATAATGAAGAATATTGTTAAGAATTTACTGGGATATTTTCCTTTTACACTGTTATGCATGATTTCTAATATTTGTTTAGTTAGTTATCAATTGGTTTGTTCAGTAAGTAATGTGACATCCGATTCTTCATTTTATTTAGGAAGACTTAAAAAATATTATTTTTTATGTCATAACTTGTGGTTAATGTATAACGTAATGATAACGCCAATTAGAGAACAGTGAATTATCGATCGGACCAATGACGCATAAAACCCGTACGAGCAGTCTGGAGTACTTATCGGTCCTGCTTCCCGCCTAGCCTAGACCAGCCAGTTAAGTCCAGGACACCAATTTCAGCCTCTGCAATATGAATCGTTTATTTCAAACATACTAAGCTGATATACCAACCAGACAGACCACATCGTATCATGAAATAGGAAACAACATCTGTACAAGATTTAGCCAAATGTGGCTGTGAATGTGGGAGATAGTAATTAATGGACTGGGTATAACTCAAGAATGGTAAATCGTATAATAATAGTTCATAGATCAAAATAAAGCTCATAATAATAGGGATATGAATATGTATAGTTTAGTTATTTAACAATGATACGATAAAAATTTACGTATAGTATTGGTCCATAAATGGATCCCGAAAGTTATCATTCATTATTCTTATCTGGACATCACATTTTATTGACAAAATGACTTGATATTTTTGTTTCTATTTTTTTCTTTCAATGAAAGTTTTGGTACAGTGTTGTTCGTGAACCGTCTGGACGTATATTCCTCCGTCCTGATGTTTTCATTAATACGGGTAAGTGAATCCCATTTATATATATATACATACATTGTAGATCAATTATTAATTATTTCTGTTATATTTTTCTTTCTTCGTTCTGATATTCTCTATATAAATATCTATACAATTCACCTTGAAATATTTATAAAGATTTTGATTGTATTTTAAGTTTGTAAAAATCTAGTCACATGGTTGACTAAACCAATCACTTTTAGGTGTATTATTATAATATTAATGTTCAACAAGGTCACCATCATCATCATAAAGTTATCTTTTGTTTTCTTCTTCTTACAAGTGCAAAATCTGTGTTATTATTATTACTATTATTATTATTTCATCGGGATTATTTAAAGTGCTTCGAATAGAGAAAAATCACTACATTCAATGTAGTTGCATTTATGTAACTAATATTAATAAGATTTTGTTTATGTAGGTCATGTAGAAGCATTAACAAGATAATTCAAGAACTTTAAAAAAAAAAGTTAGGTTTTATATTCTTCTACTATCTATATCTTTACAGTCTGTGGTTGAATCTCAATAGTTTAGACACAGTATACAGGAAATAAAATTATATTCACTTAGGTTGTACCATTACCAGTGTAAAATCTAAATCTAAATCATCACCTAGTATACTTGTATGTTTGTTGTTAATAATTGGGATTTACTTTATTTGCTAGTCAATATGATGGAAGTGATTCTGTATAGTCGTTATTACATAATCCAGTAAACAAAATCTATACATATTTGCTATATTACATTAAATCACATGTTTATTTAAGTTTAACTGTTAGTCTTTTCAAAGTTAAGGTTAGGTTGAAGTACTTTCAGATTGTATCATTGTGGAGATTTGACCAGCCCATAATGTTCAAATTCTGCATCTTATTTATTTAGGTTAGTTAGTGCCGTTCTGATGTAGTGTATCAAATTGGACCTACTTACATGTGTGCTAGGTTTTCTGTTGCTTATGGGTGTCTTACCGATTGTGTCCGTTTTCGAAGTTATCAATCGGAAAGGCCAAGTTGAGCATCTTGACCATAGATTGTACTATAATAGCTAGTCATTTAGTCATAAATAGTGTAGGACCCTGGTCTGAATGTGTATCAGTTGAAGTTAAAACATGTCAAATCAACACATCAAATGAAGTTAGCATCTAGTAAAACTAAACATCTCGTGGCTGTTATGGTACTGTAGAGTGTGGGTGGCATATGCAGTAGAACTACAAACGCAGATTTAACTTACATTTATTTGTGTGGCATATATATTTAGGTGTTTACTTGTGCCAGAACTGATGTGTATTTTATAAATAAACCATCTGAAATAGAAAGTATAATAAACTCGATATCGAGTCATTTAAATTGGCGACCATATTACAGATTGATCAATGGAATTCGACCGTCAATAAAGGATTAGATAAAAACAGCATTAAAATGTGCAGGCAAATTTTGATTAACATTTACCTGAATGTTAGGAAATTTGAACCTAATCAGAAGTTAAAATGATGTGTTTAGAATCAAATTCAAGGTATATTTTGATTAATAGGCTTGTGGTACATTAAACTAGACAGGGAAAAGCACTTTGAATATCAGTTTGCGTCATGAAACGATTTCACCTAAATAACCATTGAATACAGTGATACAGTTCTCTAGCTTCAGTCGTTTGACCAGATTGTTGTATCGCTTCCTGTTTCTCATAATTTGTAAATGGTTTTATGATACGGTGATAAAATGACCCATTTTTTTATTCAATACAACACTACATAGCTCTGTTTCATGTCGTCCTTTTCAGAATACACTATCGATGAAATTGGCACAAATGAAGAAAAGGTTATGCATGAGCTTTTTACTCCGTATTCCAATCAGTATTTTGGAACCCATTGGCCAATGGAAGGTTTTGAAGGTTCCCGTGTTTTGTTGATCGCCACTATTCTTGTTAACCTGGTGACTCCACCACCTGTTGCCTATGCGTCAGTAGTCGAAGATGACGATGACGAACTAGATTTTGGACCTATCATACCTTGCAATCTTTTCCCAAATGGCTTGCCTCTTGTAACTTGGCGCGAAAATGCACGTGTTATTGCAGGAAGTCCAAATGCACTTCGTTTTATATTTCTTTGTGCTTATGCACATCACTCAGGATTGAGATCCTTGGGGCTACAACTACTTTCAAGCATACGCTATCCCCTAGATCCACCTAGTTTATCACTCCCACTCGATTGCCCAGAATATTGGACACCTTTAATTGATAACGGTTGTCGTCTTGGCCAGCTGACCTTAGCATTTCTAACTCGATGTATTCTGGAAAGTAATGATCGGTGTGATCTAATTGCAGGTGAGATTTTTCTTATCTTAATCTTTTCAAATCTTAAGTACATACTGCATATTAGTTGTTTTAAGACCTCTTATCATTCATTTGCCTTTTCTTACTAACATTCTAGGTTTGATGTTTCTGGCTAATCTGACGAAAGTTCGTGAAAAAATGAATTTATCTAGTCTTCTTGTCGGTCTACCTCAAACTGTTTGGCCCAGACTTGCCCAGTTGTTATGCTTACCAGATTTGGCAGTTGTGTGTGCTACTTTAGAGGCTCTTCGTTGCTTAACAAATCTGGATGCAACGATGTGTTTAACTTGCTGGGAGTCTTGTTGCTTAAATGTAAATTCATTCGATCAAGAAAACATTCCTTTTATTTTACTCCAACCCTTGTTAGCATTACTTACATTAGAAGGCCAGGCGATGGGTTCTCAATCGCTTCATCGCATTAGAGTAAGTTACATATTCATGGAATAAAACTTTTAAACTGGTTTGTGTATCTTAATACTTTTACTTCATATATATCAAAAAATATTCTCATGTGGTTAAAATGTTTGATATAAGTACTCCTTGTTTATTTCTTTGTATATAAAGTAATTAAGTTCCTAGGGAAATTATCAAAATTATTCGACTTGATGCAACTGTATGGTTAATTTATACTCTCTTTTTGTACAGTTCTATTCGAAAACTTAAGTATTTCTATTCAGCGCATGTAATTTTACTGTTTTTTAAACCTATTTATAGCTTTTACCCCGCACTCCACAAGCTCAAAACGTTCAACCACAACTTCCTCATGGGACCGGTCTACGAATTCCTGCTCCTAGTCGTCTGTCTCCTAGTGTGAATGAGCTCAATCGATCCAGGGATGCACCAGCATACACTAATGGGCAAGTGTTTAAGTCATATTTACGCCCAAAACTTCCTGTAGTACATACAGTTCCTTCTGATTCTTTTGATAATAATAATATTCATAACTCTTCTACTTCATCCTTCCGTAATTTGAAGTTCGAATCTAGTACTCATTTAAAACAATCCCCAATTTCACCAACATCTACTTGTATATCACATCCAGTGTACAGACCTCAAAGCGGAAGTACTGCTTGCTCTGGTCTTATCAACTTACTATCTTCAGCGCCACCTGCTTCATCATCACCTAATATTAATATGCCAGTTATCAATTCTACTTCTCCTAATTCACCAAAAGTGGTTACACCTAGTCTATCTGAACTGACGGATAGACTTCAAATGCCACCACCTTCCTTACCACCGCCATCTGCAATGCGACGTTCCATAAAACGGACTCATTCACGGACAAGTCTAATTTCATCTCCCACTCAAGCGGCTGATGCAGTAAAAGTGAATATTTCTTCTCCTTGTAGAACTAATCACTCATCAGGAAACGTGACTGTAACAGATCGAATTAGTCCAACATCTTTGCTGCTTGCAAATTCGTGCAATCTAAGATCCCAACCTCAAGGTAAATTTTAGTTTATACACTTTTTATCTTATGTATCATCCAAAACGATGACACTGATACTATAGCGAATCCATCAATAAGACAATCTAATATGATATAAATGATCACTTGTGTATTGTTAATCAACTGCCGATTAAGCAGTTGGTTTTTTGTTTCTGATATAAGTAGTAAGTTAGCGAAATTATTTTATTTTGTCCACTGACGTAATATGCTGAATTGTCATTAGGTATTTGGCTTTTTCATCATATGGGGATTAATAGAGATCGATTTATTTATTGTAGGTATATACGTTTTAGTTTCTTTTAAGTGCTCACAAGCACAAATTCATTGACGGAGATATAAAACTTGAATAGTTAGATCTAACTGACAGTCACACAAACGTGTTACAAAATTTCTGGGGTTGGACTAAAGAAATTTCAATAGACTATTAAAGGCTACGTCAGTCTAACGGTCACTTATCTCGCTATACTGCATAACGGGTTTAAAGATTTAGTGGGTAATGCATTATGAAATTTATGAATAATTGATTCCCGACTGGTGATTTTAGCAGTCTTACCTTATAATTGATTGTTAACTTCTCACAAAATCAAATTATTAACGTGTACCTCCGAATAAAATCGATATCTGAAGACCAATACATCTTGCTAGAAGATTAAATTTTTTCTTAAAACCAAGTGACGTGCTCAAATAAGAAATATTAAAAGAAACAAGGAATTAAAAATAAAAGTGAATGGAGAATGATGACTTAATAGGTCACTTATAAACCAATGAAGTTTGATCTTGACTCAGCCCTTATTCTTGGTCGTCATTCCAAAATAATATTTTATGTTTAATGTTTTATGGGTATCATTATATTATGATAATAGATGGTCTTATTTTGCCTTTACAGGAGACTCAGTTCCTTTAGGGGTATCTATAAACCCCAAGGAAATTCAACAAACTGAGAAACATGAAGTTTGTTCAGAAAATTTTCCCGATGAATCTTTAAATCAAATAAATAATTCTCGTAATTTACTACCTCATTTGAAGCCAATTGTGAATTATGATACTTGTAACAAGAAAACCAGTAATAATAGTAATACTAAGGACGAGCTAGATGACAGTGAAATCAAACCTATTGTTAATGGTGAAAAAACTATTGATCCTATCATGGATGGTGAATTGAAAAGTCCAGTTAATACTTTTCATACGAATGGTCTTCGAACTGGTATTTTACAAGAAGCTGTTTTAGCTATTCAAGACAGAAAATTAAAGCAAACTTCTGAACAGTGTAAATCAACTATCAAATGTGTCAATGGTGTATTAGAGACGAAGCGTGAACTAATCTTAAGTACAAAAGTGAGTGTGTTATTATTCTTGACTTGTATCTACTTTATTGAAAATTTTTATCAAGGACTAAATTAACATGTTTGTGTAAGAAACATCATTTCGACTTGACGTTCTACCTGAGATCAATAAAAACTCCAGATTTGTTTTGGTAAAGTCAGTTCTTATGTTGGATATGTATTCAGGGAGCATAGTATTGATGACAACTGTTGTTGTTGTGGTTTGTAGGCAGTTATTATTAATTCGTTATTTTCAAAATTCTCATTTCATTTCTCGGAGTTTATTTTTATTTATGCATTGTTTTATGCTTCTAAATTTTTCAACCCAATTTATTATCAATCTGTTCAAGTTACATCATTTGCATGTGTCTGACGTCTCTCTCTCTAAGTGTTAATTTTACTTGTATTATCCTTCACGTACTGCGCTCGTTCAACTGATCGGTCTTCGTTTCATTCATCGAGTAAATGAATAGGATAATTGCGTGACTAATGTATTATCCACACTACTTTGAATTACGGTAGTTGTACAACTTGTGTACCCAAGCCGAAATAAGTAAAGCCTAATCTAAACCTGAAACTTAGTGGCTGAATGTCGGTTGGTTCAATTATCAAACTATCACTTCACTATCTATTCTATGGTTATGGATCATTTTGGAAGTAAATATTAGTGTTAGATACCATCACTGGATTTGATTATTTTTCCTGCCTGTTTTCAACGATCAATCATTAAAAGATTAATTAAATTTCTCATAAACACCTCACTTATGTATGTATAACTACGAGGTAGGATTATGTTTTCCTAATCGTTATGAAGACGAGAAAATATGCGTAAAATTCTGTATGCTCTCTAATAAGCCTTTTCCATCGACATCATTCACTATTTCCAGTAAATATTGGAGAAAATTACAAATAAGCGGAGAAAATAATTGTCTTCATAGACTAGTTTCTAGTCAGCCAGTCAGCTACAACATAGGACCAGACACATATATGCATCGATCAAAGTTACCATACTGCATTAGCACAGCAAGATGAACACCGGATTCATAGGAGTAGTTAAGTCAATGGTGGTAATATATATAAGAAAGATTGCATATAAGGATATAGTACAGGAAGAAAGAATTAGTTCGTAGAAAAAAAGATATGAAGCGATTAGTTTAATGGAAGACAGAGTGTATACACCGACGCCATTGTGATCGATTCTGAGCGATGTCACCAAGAGTCTCCAACCACGCGGACACCAACTAAATAGTCTGCATCTACCAACATGGCTCAGACTAGAAGTCAGTGATTTCAAGCACTGATGCCACGTTTTAGTTTGGTTTCTAGTAAATTTATGGGTTGGATTATTCATTGTAAACTTTGAATATTCAACAAGTCAGTGACACAAGTAGTTTAAGCCAGTCTATATTTTCATTATGGTCTTGTAAAACTTTTCACTGAAATATGTAAAATTCTAATTCGTCTTATATATATGTGAGTAGAGTACTAAACAGTAATCAGTCTACATGTCATACGTGAGCATTGTACTCATGTTATATAAATTGATATTTTATGGAGTTGGACTGTATTAACTGAATGCATAACGATTTTCACTTATCCAATGTAATTGACATTTATAAATGTTGATTTTTATCTAATCGCCACTGTTATAAAGTGAGATTTGATGGATGAATTTTTAATTGGTAAAATGAAAGAAAAGACTACTGATCATTCGATGATACGCACTAATCAGAAGTGCCCACGTGATATTGTCGTAAATGAGAACATGGTGTGGACAACCAAATGTATATGGATACAAAACTACAGAATCTCTGGTGAGACTATAATTTATGGTCGACCTTTGAGCGACGCTAAAATGACCTTGAGAGTGCCCACCTAATTACTAGAACCAAATGAAGATTATAAAGCAGTTTGAAGAATAAGGATTATGATTCACATTTGATGGGTAAAGTTAGGAATTTGATTTAATGTTGTCATCACGAACTGACATCAACTATAATGTCGAAACACTATTTTGCCAAATAAATGAATGAATGTCGCGCCAAAATCCGAGACCTGTTGTCTTATACGTGATTGGTTAGTCCATAAATTATAGTCTCGCTGAATCTTTTAGTAAAATCTGAGAACCACACAATAAATACTTCATTTGCGAAATATCCATCAATTGTCCCAGACTTGCTTATTCCTTCATTTTCATACCAATCACTCTGTGTTTTCGTTCTCGTTCTCTTCGATGTTCTCAACGTTCTGCCACCAGTCATTCCAATTTCAGTTAGTGATACATACTACCTATATCTGTCGATATCAGTAGCACATACCACAATATCTGTTAACAAGAGTGAATTACTGATGTAAGCCCTCATAGTAAACTGATATTAAAATACAAGATCACCAACCAAAAGAATAGGTTTTTTATTTATCAAAGTGATATGTTTATGTACAGAATATTAACAGAAAAATGGACATAATTGAGTATTGTGTGGGATTGAAAGCAATTACTTATGTAGGTTACGCACTGTCCAATGAGTTAAAACTTTTCCATGTCATATCACATTGTAAAATCAACGCATGGGTAGGTAGTTCTCTTTTATCGCTGTGTTCATGGTTTATATCTTAATTTTATTTTCTTGTTATACCTTTCTTTACTTATTGGGCTGTTAGTTTCATATTTGGAATGACTAAGATAGTTATAATCCTCTAATATATATTTATGTTTATGCAAACGACAGTTGGAAGGTGTTTTATCTGTAGAATTGGAATTATAGGCTGTTTAAATGCTAAAGGTTTAAACTTATTCTTCTTGTCATCATTGGATTCGGTTGTTACCTGTTGAATTTGGTCATTCGACTTTCGACCAGTAAACTACGCGATCAACTTGTGGACTGAATCTTCCAAGTTTTAAGCAAACATAATATTTCGTCCCTTTTGTCCGTATATCGTAGTTTTCAAGTCACGTTGACTCATAGTCACCGAGTTGCGTATCATCTCTCGTAATATTGACTTAGCAATGAAGACAGGATTTGTATTAACACGGAATGTAACGGAAATTTTGTTTGTTTCATTCGTAGAACTCGTCGAGTTCTTGCGATTAAGTTACATTGTGACCACTATTCTAAATTAGTCAACGTTGCATGTATTGTGACCTTACTTGACGAATGTCAACTAGTACACTGCTTAGTTCCAGAACTTCCTGTCACCGGCTTCTGTTCACCTTCAAAACAACACGATTTTGAAAAAATATGTTAATCTCTTACCATACATTTTAAATCACAATTTGGTTATATAAACAGTACATAGTTATTAGTATAGGATACTGGTAAAGTTGTCTGATCTTCGTCAAAATGTGTCTAAAATTCTGTATCACTTTTGTTTAATATATATATTTGTATCATATCAGTTTCCTCATTCTCTTTTACATAATTTAATATCAACACTCACAGGATAATTCAAACACGGATACTAACTCGAATAATGGTAAATCAACGCCTTTTGATGTATGTGAGAATTCAAATAAAAAATCGAGCAAGACTTCTTTAAGCAATGGATATTTAACGGATAAGATTCATGAAAATGAAAAAGATAACAGTTCACTATGTGAAAATAATCCATTGTACATTGCTTCTAGTGGGAATGGTAACGTCAATAATGATGATGTCAGTAATAGTAAAAAAACTGATGAACTGGAGAAAAATTCAAAATTCCGGTTTCGTGGTGTACATTCTTCTCATAGATTCTTGAAGCGTCGACGAAAATGGGGTTCAAAAAATCGATTGTTCACACCCAAGCGTCGACGTGATCTGACGTCTAAACATATTGACTCGTCACCTGTTTTGCATGTTCCATTAACGTTTAATCCTGTACCTGGTTCTGTTCTGGACCCTACTTGGAAACAACCTACCGATCCAGTATCAGTTGAATCCCCTCCAGACACCAGTACTAGCAGTAGTAGTAGTAAGGCGATACTCGAACCCCCCTCAAGCAATGATAACAAAAATTCATCAATTTCAAAAGATGTTATGGAGAAATCAAGCAAGCATGATTGTGATGTTTCCGTGACCAGTGAATCATCAGAACGTAATTCAGAATCTGGCAATACACTTTACAATGCTAGTCTCACATGTTCAGAGGATCCATCTAAAACAGTTAACATAGAAAAACCAGTATTGTATTTATGTGAATGGGAGTGTTGTACAGCTACATTTGAATTGAAACACCAGGTGGGTCTGATCACTTTCTATTAATCTTTGGGTTTTTTTCGAAATGTTTCTTTTTGGAGCTTGGGAGCTGTTTAGGTTTTTTACACTAAATAGAACATCTGAAAAAAGCACTTCTGACGCTTGAATAGAAAAGTGGTGGCTAAATTATAAATTAATATTTTAATCTATTGGTTGATGAGTTAAAAATCTCTCCACTTCAGATTTTGTGATTCGTTTTACAGACCATATTTTAAATAAGTCTATTAGACATTTTATTCTAATTTGTTGAACCAGTACTATTCTCTTTACAATTTTTCCTTACATCATAATTTTAAGTTGGTTAGAAATATATGGAGTCATATTTTTACTATGTCACAACTCTTTGTGATTGCAAATCAGATAGCCTCTTCTTCTACTCTTGTACCTCAGTGACGTTCGTCAGGTCTCCCTTCTATCTCAGTTTCTATTTAATTTTGTTATCGATATCCTCCTAGAAATAACATTTTCTTCAGTCAACTATTGATGGCTCGATCTACCACTAGGAGATTTGCTCACGGACCTAGAACATTTAGATGTAATAGTCTAATGTGAAAAAAATTATGAACAACAGTGCTAGCGTCGCTTGCATTTCTCTCCTTCTAAATGCGAAATTTCGTTCTAGGACTGGTTTGCGTCAATATATAAACCGGAGCAGGTTTTTTTCTTAGGGGGCCACACCCGGAGCCTTCGACCTAAAGGTCCGATCCACAAGGCAGAGGAGCAACGTTAGGAGATGCAGTCCCATGGTAGCCAGTGACCAACGATTATTTCATACGCCATTTGTTTCCTCAGGATCCTGGAGCCCATGTGCACGATTGGTTTGGAATGAAGGTTTTCGAACTCTCTTAGATGGATCGTCCCTATCCACCAACCCGGTTAAACCCTTGGACATTTGCCTTTCGTCCTCTCAATTTCGTAAACACCACCCGTCGCGCGAAAGGCAGTGAGTAGAACTTTCCTGGAAGTGGCTGTGTACGTATAGTCATATGAGAGCATTTGGAGAGGAAGAGCTAACTCTTCTCACCCTTGACCTTACTAGGGCATTCGGGGGTAGAAAACACGCTTGGGTTGTAGATCTTTGATTGTAGGCATTGCTTGAGTTTCATGGAATGACTAAGTAAGCAATATTAAGGTAAGACAGCGTACTTAGCAGTGGTGGCAAACTGGCTAGTGAGATAGTGGATCTTCATCGACCAAGGTAGTTAGGACATGTGCTAAATATGCCTAACTACAACCTACCTCGACAAGTGATGCTTGTTAGTGTAGAAGGGGCATGGACGAAAGCCAGGAACGATATAACCGACTTGTGCAATTAGTTTTTGAAGTCATTGATTATCGGTCTGAAACATGCTAATAGATTTAGACTTACCTTGTCTACAAGACTGGCAGGATTCTAATCCTGTACTCACCCTGGATGGTGAGCAGATAGACGTAGTTGAGAAGTTCGTGTATCTGGGTAGCTGCATAAGTGCTGGTGGGGGTGTGAGTGATGAGATCAATGCACGAATAGTGAAAGCCAGAGCGGCTTATGCCAATCTGGGCCACCTTTGGCGCCTTCGTGATGTTAGTCTGGCTGTAAAAGGCCGGATCTACAACGCGTCGGTGAGAGCAGTTTTGCCCTATGCTTGTGAAACCTGGCCTCTCCGAGTTGAGGACGTTAGACGACTCCCTGTGTTCGATCATCGCTGTCTCCGAAGGATTGCTGACATTCAGTGGCAACACCATGTCAGTAATGCAGAGGTTCGGCATCGTGTGTTCGGGCACAGAGATGATAATTCAATTGGTGTCACCATCTTGAAACACCGACTTCGGTGGCTTGGACATGTTCTCCGAATGTCGTCCCAGAGAATTCCACGTCGTGCATTATTTGCCGACTCTGGGACTGGTTGGAAGAAGCGGAAAGGTGGTCAGTGCATGACATGGTGTCGTGGTATGAAAGAAAGCTGCAAAGGACTGGCTTGTGTTGGTCCTTCACGACTCCCTGGTTGGGGTCTGAGAGATGGTGCTACACAGTGGCTAGAGACGTTATCAGATAGGGCTCAGAATAGAAGCCAGTGGCGATCCTGCTGTAACCTTCTTTTACTTTCTTCATAAAAAGTGGTTGTGTCTCCTTTACCTGAAAGATTTCTTCTAATTGTACCTTTTCGTTCCGTCGTTACTACCACACTACCTTACTCCAATCTCTTCGTCATTGTTCTCTTTTTCTTTTGCGCTCCTTAGTTTTTTTTTCTTTCTACTTCTCTTCGAATTCTCATTGTTTTGTGTGGCGCATATATATTGGCGCTCTCTTGTACCAATATTTATGTGTTCAAATAAATAATAATAATAAATAATACCTTGTCTACGCGATAACCTAGATTAATGGCTGGATATTGGGTGATACGAGTCAGAACTATCCATAATGTCACAGATCCCCTCAACTTCCCCTCAGTACTGAATTCAAGTATCCCTCCAAACCCACCTTTCCACTCTATCTTTTCAAACCATATTCTCGTTGTTCAGTCTTATTATCATCGCTACTACATTTTTTAGATCTCTCACTACCAGTCTTATTATTTTCATGTAGTGCCAATGTGATATGATAATTTGGGCCAACACACACATGTATTCCAGGTTCTATGTTGATTTTATTCGTCAGTAATCATATATCATGTTACACAATCTTTTTTTGACAGGTTGCCTTTCATGTTTACAGTACACACTTACCTAGCAAGGAAAGTTGGAAAGTAGATGGATCACATCATAAATGTTCTGTTCAACTTGTACGTCGTTGCTGTCGTTGGCGAGGCTGTCAGTCAGCATCACTGGCTCGAGCACCGTACGCTTTAATGACTCATGTGCTTGATATGCATTGCAGTCCAAGAGAATTAGAAGCGCGAAGATCAAATCATGCGAAGTCTAAAACTGAGTACAGAACTCGAAATGAACATTTTTCTGATGTTAATTCATCGATTGGAGATACACATCCAGAATATCCTTTAGTTGGTGATCGTACAGGATGGGGAATCATTCGTTCTGTTGAAGCTAAAAATATGCAAACTGAGCTGTTGGCTGCACAACATCATTTTCTACTTACAAATCCCAATTGTCATTCAAATATCTCAATAAATCCACTGGTTCATTCAGGCATGAATAATCCACCACGTGAAGGACCAGTAACAAAACATCTTCGAGTAACTTCCGCACTTATATTAAAAAACCTAGCAGTACATGTTGATCAAGCGAGAAGGTGGGTTTCTTTTCTAAAACTATATTGATTTATGTCTTCAAAATAATTATGTTGATATCTTAGAATAACTTTCTTTTTGCGTTACCTTCTACACATTTGGAAAACGTTATTTATTCGATTCTTCAAATCCAGGAAGCAATGTATACATGATCCGTATTGGCTTATTCCCTATATTTTGTTGGCTTACTAAGAATTCATGAATCGTGATCTTTTCCCAAATTATTGATCATCTGTTCTAATCATAAGGATATAAAGGTAGTTATAGAAATGTTCATATCTATCAATGTAGTTCAGCTGAACGATATTCTGTAGCAACTTCTTCATAAAAATAAAGAACACAGTAACCTTAAACCCCATTACCTATACCGAATTTGTGCCTCTGAAGGGGGATCTCAGATAAGATTAATTAGGGAATTTTAATATACTTGGTCTCCAATGTCCCAACTCGGAGGATGGCCGAACCTACTTTAATCTATCGTCATTTTGTAAACGGACGTTTTAATTCTGTTACACCTCTGCACTAAAATTTCATTGTAAATATACTTCCATTCGAAAAGAGCTCATTTAACAAAATAATTCCCTCTATCAAAAATACTCGAACAATTATTATGATATAAAATACGCAAATGATGTAGTCTTGTTTGGTGAAGACGCTGATAAGACCCAGAGTCTTTTGGTAGCACTGAGCAACAATGCCAGGATGTTTGGAATGCGCTTCTCTCCCTCTAAATGCAAGTTGTTGCTTCAGGACTGGTCTGCGTCAACACTTGAACTAAGGATAGGGAGTGAAGTAGTCGAACGCGTCGACAACTTCACTTATCTTGGAAGTCTGATCAGCCCTAATGAGTTGGTGTTTGAGGAAATCTCAGCACGGATTCAAAAATATCGTTTGGCTTTTGCCAACTTACGTCACCTATGGAGAAAGCGAGATATCCGTATACCAATAAAAGGATGAGTATACTGTGCAGCAGTTCGCTCTGTTCTGCTTTACGGTTGTGAAGTGTGGCCATTAAGAGTAGAAGATACTCGTGAGTTGCTAGTATTTGATCACGGATGTCTTAGAAATATTACTCTCATCTGCTGGGATCACCGGGTAAATAATAGTGGGGTTAGGTGCAGGGTATTAGAGAGTGATGGTAAGTCAGTTGATGAGGTTGTGAATCTTCGTCGACTGAGATGGTTGGGTCACTTGTTACGTATGTCTAAACACTGATTACGACGACGCGCAATGCTGACTAGTGTTGGGGATGGTTGGAAGTAATTTCGGGGCGGCCAAAACGTGGCATCAGTCTGTAAAGTCAATAACATCTGATACAGATTACTTGTTTGGAGTCCGCGCAACTATCGTAATCAGTGGTTGGAGAATCTTGGTGACATGGCTCAGAATCGATCACAATGGCGTCGGTGCACTCTCTGTCTTCCCGTATACCGTGAAATTAGAACTAGTTTATGCCTCTCTTTGTACGAACTAATCCTTTCTTCCTGTATTATATCCTTATACGCCATCTTTCTTTTATATATTACTACCATTGAAGTGACTACTATGAATTTGGTGTCGACCTTGTTGTGCTAATTAGATGTGGTAACTTGAATCGATGCATATATGTGCCTAGTCCTAAGTTGTAACTAGCTGACTGACCGATTGTAAGGACGATATGGATGGTAGCTAGCAGTAGAATCTAGGATGCGTGTTGCGTCCTATTTGGTACTCGTCAGCTGGATGCAGTTGTATCTCAAAGTTGATGTTCCTTCCTGTCTATGATTTCGTTCAAAGCTTTACTCGTAGGATTTTAAGACATCAGTTCTGTGTAATAAGATATCATTTCATAACATAACTGGAAAAAACTATCGATTTGTAGTGATTATGTTAAAATTAAGATTCAATACGTCTAATTACAGTTAAACTTGGTTTTGTTCTTAAAGTTCTTTTAATTTATATTAGGTGAATGATACTACTTTCAAGTAGTTTAATCGTGTTTACAGAACTGTTATTTCCTATTAATTCTGTTCAATATCGAAATATTTTATTCCGTCTGAAATTGTTTATAAACAGATAATACCTACAGGAATTAATCTACTATGTATATTCCCGTAAATCGACTACTGTTTTTTCTCAGGCTCTCGAATTTTCTTCATGAAATGTTAAACTTTATCTGCTTGTTTTTTTCTTCACATTGTCTTTAAGACACGATGTATTGGCGGAGTAGTTTGTAATTCTTGTTCCAAGCGCACTAAAGATTATATTAAGTGGTTCGAGCGGCAAAAAATCGTTAACTTAGTTTTCGTGCAAGAGTTGACTCTCGTCATGAAGGTTTATGTGGAATCTTGAACTAATTGTTGCTTGCCATGAAATTCGAACCCTTAGAAATGTTATTACAGAGGCTGTGGAGAAAAATACAACCTATAACGTCCCGCGCTTCTTCAAAGGTCTTGGGGCTTATGAACCGTTATAGGAGGTCGGTCTGACCAAACAGTATCGTAAATTCACATCATCCCACTGTTCATGTGGTAGCGGATTAATGAGAAGGAGCTTTAAGACACATAAATTGATTTTATCTGTGTCTTCCAGGCGTGTATTTAAAGTGTACCTGCTTGCCGAAAAACAAAAACGGTTGCGGGGACGTCATCTATGCTTTTATCCTGGGAATTCATAGGTCTCTGATCTATGTATTTAAAGTCTTCATGCAACGTTTGGTTGTCTATCTGGGATTAACGCTAAGTGGCGTATATACTTGCAAAGAGTGCACGTAAGGTGTATATGTCACAGAGAGTGGCCCCTAACTGCCGTCTGAAAACTTAGTAAGAATTATAATTTACAGAAGTGTAGACCTCATCACATTCCTGAAGTGAAATCTTTGCATATGCCATGGATTGGATAAACCGATCTGATTTGTATATCTCAGGTATTTATGTAACATCCATCAGTCGTCTTTAAACGAGTAGTAAATCCTTATATTTATCCTTAGGAGTTTCCGGTTCCCCACTCTGCTCTGTGTACCCATGAGAATATACAAGCTTATTCAGCCCATCGACTTTCCCGATACTTTACATGGAACAAGGAATCACGGAGACTATTCAGAACACCTCTGAAAGTATTTTAACCGCGAAGATGCTTTTTTCTCATTAGACATTGTAATTTGCATGAGGACTCATGTTTCTTGTCCGATTCCAATATAGCCTGTTAAGCATAGTTGTAACCATTATAAACACAGATTGATAGTGGCTTGAATTGAGAACGCGTGTTTCTTACTACTTGGGACTCGTCAGCTGTATGCAATTGCATCCCAATCTTACTTATATTGCTTGTAACGTAATGGCGATATCGAGGCAATCCGTCCAGGGTGCACATATGCTAACAAGGGACTGATCAATCGCAGTCCTATAAACGTCAAGGGTAAGATTCAGACAACCAATACAAAAATGAACAGTTTTAATCAGCTTTAATAAATTATTTATTTTAATTTTCGTGCATTTTTTTCACCAGGTGGTTACTTAAAGAGTCACAACTTTTATCAGAAATAGCATTTGGCTGTACACCAAGCGAAACAGGATTAAAAACAAACAATGCCAGTCATATTATTGCCCAATGTTTATCTATATGCACCTTAAAACAAAATTCTACGAATTGTGTTTTATCACATCCATTAGAACGCCCAATAAACATTCCGTTATTATCTACAGACGCTTATTCATCGTTGAGGATTCAACCGAATGAATCGACAATGTATCAGTTGAAAGAATCTACTGTAGATCTAGATTCAGATACTTGTAATTAACAGTTAAAAGAAAAAGAAATTGGCAGTACTTTTTTTAAAAGTGTAATTCCTTAATTCACAATGCCTTTCCATGTCTTGTATGTTGTAGTATTTCTTCATAACTATTTTGTTCAGGTTTATTTCACTTACTCTTCCATATGTTATTGTTGTGTAGATAACAAACAAGCGTTGTTTCATTTATTGTCAATCCTTCAAGCACTTCAGGGTTGTTACCGTGGAAGGCTTTATTTCCACTTCAAATGTGTTTACTTTTTTTTGTACAGTTTCTAACAGTTAACCTCACAAATTCTCTCTTCCTTTCTACATATGCACATATATACATATATATATTTATTCTTTAGTTAATGTTCACTCTTTTGATCTGTTGTGTACTTTGACAGTGAATTTTGTTGAATTGATTAGATAATTCTATTTATATAATATATTCACTGTTGTATTTCTATTATCATTATGATTATCAATTCCGTGTGCAGCTCAACTCTTATTTTTCTTTTTCATCTTGAGACGAGAATTTGTTCCCCCTTTTTTCCCCCCACTGTTATCACACGAAAATTGTTTTCAAAACAATCTGTGTATATCTATAAACACACACACACATATACATACACACAGGTTATTTAATAACAGAACGCACTACTTGACCGCTTTCTATAAATAATAGTTCGTCAATCCTATATATATATATATATTATTTATTGTTTTATCTCTGGTTTGTTCCTTTTAGAAAAAAGAAGTGGTGCCAATTGTCGTGATGATATCTTTTGGTTAACCTTCTACACTTCTTTTTCTTTTTTTTAAAAAAAAAACAACAACAACCGAACCCCTTTACACTACTGCATATTTTGTAATTATCTAAGTTGCTTATATACATACATATATATATTGTTTTAAAGAATTTCTCAATGAACTTCCTATTATGTTGTACAGTTTCTTGATCAGAATATCCCATTTTTTTCTTTCTTTCTAAAGATGAGTAAATGTGTTTTCATACTGAACGAATACATGTGTATATCAATTGTGATATACCCTTGTTATATATACATATTTAAAGGATTTATTATTATTATTCTTATTGTTATAGTCCTGTTTCTTTTGTCCAAATATGTCTATTTTTTAAATGTTTATATTCCCTTGTTTTTTTTCCCCATGTTTCTTTTCTCCGTCTCTCCAACTTTTCTCCATATGTAGCCCCTTTAATCTTCCTATTCTAATTTATTGCTTGAATTTCTACACGATACACCAAGGTTGTACAATTTGGGGTTGTAATAATGACGGTAAGCCTAATGACGACGATGATGATGATGATGATTACGAGAACAATAATCTTAGTGCATTTCAATGTGATTTTGATCAACTCTTTTTTAGTGCCTATTCAAGTGTTTGCGTATTTTTTTTGTATGTGTCTTGGTTACGTTAGTATTACTTATGCATTTGTATGCGTAGTTATCAATTGAAATCTGTGCATAGTGGGTTATAAAACAATTTATGAGTATACCATTCCAGTAATAGTTAGTCTACCATAAATTAAGTTGTCAAGTAAAACCGGAGCTTATCTGTAAATTAACAGTAGGATTGATTATTTCTAACATTTAGGTATTACGCCGTAAATGACTGTAACTTATGTTCAAAACTTTCAAACTACACAATTCTCTTTATAAAATTACCAACCATTAATTGCGAATATTCTAGTCAGTGACTTCATGTCATATTTAACAAGATTAAAATCTAAGAAATAGAAATAATCATATCAATAACAGCTGAGTAGCACTACGGACTTAGAGTTAATGAGTACTAACTTCTGTTGTCATTTATACTACGTTTTAAGCTTCACAGGTGTTGTCCACCCATATATAACATAATGGATTAAATACATTCTAGTCTAGCTCTACTGAGATTGCCGTACATCTGTATTTCATTGTTTCTCTTTTTGTATATACATGTTTCAAGAATTAGATTCGAGCTAAAGCAGGTGCTTTCTTCAATAAGTGTTTTCCCCATTCATTTTACTGTTTCGGTACTCAGCTTATTAGACTTGATTTGTTATTATTTTTGGGATGATTGGTTGAATTAAGAGATTGTTTGTCTTATTCTAGATAACTTTATACGTGTCAGCAAAAAATATTCTTAGATTTATGATAATGTCTCTTAGACTAATTGTCTCAATTCATGTTTATTGCTTCAGTCCGTGGTATCACCAGTAAGCTATAATGACAATATGAGAACGTCTATAAATGTTTATGTGTTCGTCAATGGCGTGTCAAATCATCTTTTTGACAATTCAAGTAATTATAAATGACCCTAAGACTGTACAGATGCCGTTTTACGATTTATCCTAATGGGATTTAAAGGGAACTGGTACCTCGGGTGATGTTCGCTACAAATATAATAGTTCATTAGGGTCACTAAAATCCCGTTGGTAGATTTTTGTCACAGAGTAGCATCAGTTATCATACCGTAGGAAAATGTCATAATACGAAACAGTAGTAAGCAATTACATCGCTAACAATCGAGCTCAGGACTTTTGAATTGATATTTTAATGTCTCACTATTTCACCACATCCAACGAATTCACTTTAATTCAAAATATGGGTCACTAGTTGAGGAAGATACAAACGTTTCGCTAACATATCTTTAGATACGTGGACGTTGGTCTCACTTAAAAGCCATTACTGTATATGATTTTACCACATCAAAATCTTAATATAGCATTTACTCAATAGCTCTTTCTGTTATGAAAGATGGCAGTTTGCACGTATTTACCACAGTTTGTTCCCAATTGGTGTACAATTGATAGCTCGGGAGCAGTTGTTTCATAGTTCTGCTGCGTTCCTCAGTGGTATTCAAGCACAGCTCCGGGGGGGGGGACCCTTGACTAGTGTTTCGCAATGAACGCTCAATCATTAAAACTACTAGTTTGGAGTTCAATAACAATATCGGTTATTAATCGGTATTCATAATTGTCATAAGCTCACTTAAACCAGTTAACGCTAATGAAGACAAAATTTTACACAAACAAAATGATTAAATAAATACTGCATGTATTATGTGAAATAAACCTAGATTTTTATAAGCGAAGATGGATGGTAGCTAGCAGTGAAATCCAGGACGCGCCCTTCGTCCTATTTGGGACTCGTCAGCTGTATGTACGTATATCCTAAATAACAATGGGAAGGTACAAGAAAACAATACTAATTGAAAACACTACACCGAGAAATGGGGATACATGAGAAAAATGAACAAAAATTGGATAAAACTGGAAGGGAAGGCACAGGACAGAGTGAATTGAAGAATGCTGGTCAGCGGCCTATGCTCCATTGGGAGTAGCAGGAGTAAATAAGTAAGTGTTTAAAAACTCACAAAGATAGACCAAACAGATTATTTTTTGAATTGATTAAATTCTGAATTTCGCATAGTGATAATAATTAAGCAACACATCACAAACTATGTCTTAATGTTAGATCAGCGTAATAATCGAAGTAGTGTGGTTCAATGATAAAAGTGTTCCACTTTCAACCGACATATCGATTGTTGATTAATCAGAATGCAAGAAACTCGTATATTCTCGAAATTATCTGCTACATTCAAATACTTCCTTTTCTTATCTTAATCAAGACTAATTCCTTGAACACTTATGTATCAATCGTAATTATGTCATGCACTGATTTATTCTTTCTTTTCACCTCAATATAATAGAGATGGACAGACAAAGAGATTCATTGTCTTTTTGTTGTTGTTGGGCGGTTACTACTATTGGAAAAGGATGAAACCATTAAAATTGAATATTGATAAGTTATTTAATTGCAAGATTATTTCTTTTTAATATTCATGTTGATTGTTGCATAGGTATTAACAAATTTTGTCGGATATATATAAAAATGTTTAAAAATTACTGTAATATTAACGTTTGTAAATCGATAAGTAATGGAACGATATGTATGGATATATTCCAAAAGTATTTTGTAAGCAATGATGAATAGTGGCTAGCAGTGGAATCCAGGATGCGCGTTTCGTCCTATTTGGGACTCGTCAGCTGGATGTACCTGCATTTCAGAGTTGATGTTCACCCTGGGACTCGGACCCAGTACCACTCGCTTCAAACGCCATCACGTTATCCACTCAGCTACTGAGTCCTGATAGTCACTTGCTTTTGCAATGAGGTGAAGTTCAAATTCACTTGGTATTGTTTTGCTTGTATCTTCCCATTGAGGTTGAAGACTGCAATTGATCAGTCTGTTATTGTCATATGTGCATACTCTGAGATGCAGGTACATCCAGCTGACGAGTCCCAAATAGGACGAAACGCGCGTCAAACTGGATTCCACTGCTAGGCACTATCCATCATTGATTACGAAAAGCTTGTGAATTAAGGCAATATTGAAGCATACGTACAGTATGCACATATGCCAATGACAGACTGATCAATTGCAGTCTTAAACCTCAATAGGCAGATACAAGCCAAAGAATACCAAGTGTATTCCAAAAGTAATTTTATCATTTATTAAGACTTGCGGGACATAGGTTTTATATTCGTTCAACAATTTATACTGGTTATATTTAGATAAATGACTTCCAGGCGTTTGTTGAATCTACACATCTTTTTATTTTAACCAATTTTTTGGTATAGTACTATTTTTATTGTGATGATTCCTTGTCTAAATGGAAATCTACGTTTAGGTTTTCATAATAATATGATCGATCGGATGTTCTGTATTGTGGTCTGGTGAAATTCATGTAAACTTGTGTATGCGTTTGTATGGATAATATAATGCCACCTACAACTATTTTGTTGAATGCATATAAATTTACAAATCTGTCAACATTCTCCATCTGGATTGTCAAGTGCTTTCCTGAGCACTTTTCTGCGATCGACTGCAACCTCTCATAAGAATAATCTTGATCATCTTTACTGTTATAGGTGGGTGCATAGCACTGTATAACGTTCCTCCTTATTTGTTTTGATGGTTGCTGTGCTAATGCAGTGTGGTAACTTTGACCGATGTATATGTGTGCCTGATCCTACGTTGTAACTGACTGACTGTCTGAGACTTATCTTAAAACGGTGATAGATAAACGAGATTTTTTTTTTAATAAATTCTCTTCAAGTTTCACAATTATTTATCCATGAATATGCTAAAGTTGGAAACCTAAAAGTTATTGAAACGGGATCCAGTGGTGTACGGATACCCATCGAAAACTGTGGAGAATGATCACATAAATGTCGTAAATCCTCAGTAATATGGAATCCTAATTTAATAGGAAATATCCACTAAGTATTCCAATGACTGTTGGTTAATTCGTAGTATCAATAATATTATATATGCTCCAAGAATTCTACTGATTGTATACACAGAAATTTTTGTTTATCATATTACTTACACTTTAAATATACCATTGAAATTCAACAATTAAATCACTTAATTAGAGTTAACCGATACAAAGTGCAAATTTATGTATTCATTCTAGCACTAACAGAACTAGTATAATATATGTATATATATGCATTATGTGCACTCTTCACCATTCAATTTCTCAATCAGAAAATATAATGAAGAAAGACTAATATATACATAGATAGTAGTATAGTAATAGTAGAATGTATAGATGGTAAGACTGACAATATATATAAATAATTTATCATGTACTGAAACAGTATAGATCATTGATCGATTGTTTTAGGCGATTAAAATTCAGAATAGAATAACTTGGTAAACTTACCTAATACTTTACTCGTGTTACTCCCAATGGCGTATAGGCCATCGACCAACTCGATGTTTCCTCAGAAAGCCCTATCTTCTAAAAACTCTTCAAGTAATGCTTACAGGTAAGAGACACATTACGGGGGAGATAAATAGCTGAATGTTTGTGACTTAAATAAGTCTTTTATATGTCAGTCGTTTGATGTCATCCTTCCAATACCCACAGGTTTGATGAATAATTGTATTCGAATTTTTACTGAAAGTTATGTCCGGAAATGTCTTCAGTCACTTAAGTCGTCCTAAGGTTTGGGACTTGACGAAATCCCGAACCTGTTATTCATTCACGAGCATCTTTAACAAATCCTTTTCAACTAATCTCACGCCGAAAATGTGAAGAAGGGGAAAGATAATCCCAATACCAAAGAAAGTATCTGATTATAAGAATGTGAAATTTAGACCGATAGCAGTAACTTCACCTTTTCTCGAACAACGGAACTATTGTTGATAATCCCACTTTAACCCCCTCTAAAAAAGCACATTGATCCAAGACAGTTTGCTTATAAATGCGAAATAAGCACCTTAGATGTTGCTGTTGTCCTGTACTATAGTATAGCGTTCAGTTTCGAAAAGGGTAAGAACTATGTTGTATGCACATTTTTGAAATGTACTTCTGCTTTTGATTATATCCTAAGACAACTTTTACTTAACAAGTTAATTAGAGTCAACACTGACTGCTGGA